GTGGCCCTAGGCTTGTCCCCAGACCAGGGACCCTCCTTCCTGGTCAGAGTCATGGACTTCTAGGAGGTCAGGGCAAGAGTAGCCCTGAGGAGCCTCCAGAAAATTCTGTCCTTGCAGAGAGGGAGACAGAGGCCCGAGGACTGTCCAGGGTCATGTCCACAAAAGTAACGACAGCACCTTCCTCCCAAGCTGTTCTGAGGATTAAATGAGATCATGCGAGCAAAGCACTTCCCCCACAGTGGGCACTCCAGCGGGTACTGCTAGGATTGCTGTCTCCGTGCTCTTGCCCACCGGAGCCGAGCTACTAGGCCAGGGGAAGAAAGAGTGCCTCCCTTTTGGCGGTCCCGGCCTCTGACCCACCTGGCCGCACACGGTGGGGTGATGGAAAGACTCAGAGGCAGGAGGTCTGGAACCTGGCCTCACCTGGCCTCTACTTCGGTGTGTGATCTGGGGGAGGCCCAGCTGAACCTCCCCCCGCCAGTGCCTTGATTTTCCTCCGAGAAATAAGCCGGATATTCAGGAGGGACCCTTGCAGTTTGGGAATCTCCAATTTCAGCAGCAAAACCGCCCTACCAGGAAGCTTCGAGAGCATGTGCCTGGCTGGGAGGAGGAAGCCCGTGTCAGGACAGACAAAGCTGCCCTGTGCTGAGAGGCCTCTGGCCTGGCCCCAGAGCTCTGCGCGTTCCACACCCAGGCGCAGGGGCTTCCAAGAATCAGTTAAAAGGTATTACTTGAAAGTTGCCAGACGGTTAACTTTGCGTTCCTGGAAGCTGTAGTCCAGGAACGATTGGGAGGTAGGGGGGTGGCGGGGAGAGGGGCGGAGAGAAGGCAGAGGAGGGGCAAGGGAGAGAGCAGTGGGAGGGGAAAGGTGAGAAGCGGGAGCAGAGACTGAGGCGAGAGACAGAGAGGCTGCAGGGAGAGGGGAGAGCGGGCTCTGAGCCCAGCCCAGACCCAGGGCTCCGATGACCACGGCTTTTGACCGCCTGGAACCCTGGCCGGTCACAAAATAGAGCCACGTTATGTTTTCTGAACAGGAAACTCCCCGACCGTGTGGGAAGGCAGAGCCTTCCGGTGGTCAGCCTGCCGGTCCCTTGAACACTCCCAGCGCAGCCCTGCGCTCCGCTTCAGCCCCGAGACGCCCTCGTTGGCTGCCCTCCGTGAGCCAGCGCCCCAAAGCTGCCCCCGGAAGCAGCACCCCTCCGCCCCGCTGCCGGGCCGTTCGGGAGCCGACGCCAGACCGGGCAGGGGCCGGCGGCGGCTGCCACGGCGCCCCGCCTCCCGAGGCCCCAGGGGATCTCGAAGCCCCGCCCGCCGAGGGCGACGCCCCCTCCGTCGCTGCCAGCGGTCGAGCACCTCCCCAGCTCTCGGCACGCGCCGCGGGACGCGTCCCAGGGAAAGCGCCATGAGGGGCAGGGACGCGTCCCCTTCTCCAGCAGGGGACCCGGGCGGCCTGGCAGCAGTGTCCCCTTATCCCGGGTTCCAGTCACCCGCAGCCAGGTGCTGTTTGGAATCAGATGCGCCTCCTTCTGAGGTATCGCCAGGAGGCCCCCGGGAGCCTCACAGGACGTCACGGTCACGGTGTGACGTCATCCCGTCACCTCCCCTCCCCACACAGGCGCTTTACAGCTCGCACGGCCGCAAGAAGGCTGACCGAGACACCACACTCCCATGCCTCTGACTGTAGCAGGCTGCTGGAATCGGTCCAGGTTATTTGTAGTTGTTAATCTCCTACTGTGCCGCATTTATGCATCAAACTTCACTGGGGTGTGTGCGGGGTTCGGTACTGACCGCGGCCTCAGGCCTCCACCGGGGGCTCGGAGCAGACCCTCGCAGATAAGGGGCACTCCTGCAACAAACTGCAATAAAAGAGAACTGCCTAGAGAAGCCCAGTGCAATGGGAAAGGCAGACAGGGATTTGGCTCGGCCGCTTAGAAGAGGTGTCACCCTGAGGAAGTGGCCTGTCGGCTCAGTGCTGGTTCCCTCGTCTCTAGAACGAGCGTGGGGACTGCAGAGAGGTTGTGGGGATCAGAGACGCGCATGTGAACCCCCACACAGGCCAGGCGGCGGGCGGTGCTCGGTGAAGGTTTTGTCACCCATTATGGGGCCCTGCAAACCTTCAGCCGTGCACGCTCCAGGCACAGGAACTGAAGAGCAGGATGTGGGCACCGGGGTAGCATCACCTGGGTGCCAGGCACTGTGCCCAGGTGCCCACGAGGGTCAGCCAGTGAGGGGCCTGGGCTCCGTGACGCCGTGGGATTCTGGGCCCCGATCCCACACTGTGGCAACCTCCTCTGCCCCATCTGTCCCTACTCCACCCTCAACCACTAGCAGGGCCCTCTTGGGTGGGGTGGGATGGGCAGGGCTGGGCAGGGCATCATTATCACTCCCAGCGCAGTGCTGGAGACAGAGTTAAGCTGGGCCTTCTTATCGGCTCCCCAGGCCCTGTGCTGAAATGCACTGCCTGGCTCTGAGGCTTGGGGGCTGGAAAGCGGGGCCCTGTGGTGGCTGCCCAAGTCCTTGCTCCTCTGGAATGGTCCCTGGGAGCAGGAATGGGAGAGGCAGCCCAGCAAACAGAGAACGCCGCCTGGCTTGGACACCATGTCATCTTAGGCAATCCCTTCCTTCTCTAATCCCCATCTGTGAAATTGGGGGTGGAGGGGCAGCTGGATAAGGTGACCCTGGAGTCCCTTGCAGCTCTAAAGAGTTAGGATCCTGTGACCCACCACCTGTGACGTAGCTATGACGATCATCCTGTTTACAGACAAGCCACGGGAGGCCAGGCAGAGGGAAGAGACTCACTCCCATAGCGTACTAGTTGGTAGCAGAGCTGAGGGACACCCAGCCCAGTGCTCTTTCCACCCCACACACCCTCACCTCCTAGAAGGCCCACAGAGGAAAGGTTTGGAGATGATGAAGGGATGGCTGTTTCTGGGCTCCCCATCCCAGGTCCAAACCCTTCCATCAGGTTCCAAGTGTGGACTGGGGACATCTCAGAGGGGTTCCAGACACATGGGTACCAGGCACCTCATAGGGGGGAGGTCACTCCTTGGCTCCTGTCCAGGGAAGGGAGAGATGTCAGGGCTTCCTGGGTGTGTGGAGAGCTGGCCCCATAATTGGGCCCAGATAATAGCCCTGCTCTTATCAGGGGGCAAGGGCTCCAAGGGGTGCATCTGAGAATCAAGGGCAGGCTCAGCAGAAGTGGGGAGGGGGCAGAGAGGGAAGGTGGGTGCAGGTCCTTCAGCCTGGAAGGAAAGACTCTCTGAGGACAGGTCCAAGGCTTAGGGGACAGGTGTGCGGGGAGTCAAAGGAAGGGGCAAACTAGATCCACTTCCCCTTGAGGAGCAGAAAAGCCTGATCCAAGGGGCTTTCCTAAAGAAATCCTAGATATCTCAGGTTGGGAGGGATGAGAGACACCCAGAATCTATGTCCCAGGGCAGGAAGGGTTATGGCCACCTTTGAGAACCTGAGAAAAGTTATGTCCTCGCCCACTGGGGAAACCGAGTCCCAGGCTTTCCGGGAGATGACCCACACACTTGGCTTAAGACTTGGAAGGCCCTGCCAGACAGTGGGTGGGTCCCCTGTAGAGCTGGAGGCAGGGACCCAGTAGGTGCCATCCTAATGACCAGACACGGGGCCCTGGACCTGGCAGAGCAGCAGAGACAGGCAGCAAGGCAAAGCAGGACCAGGCCTCCCCGGACCCTGGGGCCTGGGCTTCTTGGCCCCCCCTGGAGCTGGGGCTCCAGGCAGGCACACCTGGGTACCCAGCCAGCTCCCTGACTATCTCCCCATCCATGTCTTGGCCCAGGTTCCTGGTTTCTCTTCCTCTCTGGCTCAGGCTCAGACCACCCTGGGGACTCCCATCTGGGAGCAGGGCTGTGTGTCTCCTCACTGCTAGGCAGCCTGGCCTGAGCTATGCCCTCTGAAACCACCCAGAGAGGCGACAAACAGATTTGTGCGCAACATACACACCTGGGGTTGGGGGCTCAAAAGGCCTTATGCCCTCTTCTCCTCACCATGCAACCATGGACTGCAGGTTTCCCAGACAGACAAATCTGCTTCAGCTTTACTTGTACATGGGGGCCCTAAGAGTTTTAAACATGGCCACGGGAGGCATTTACAACAAAGCCAAAACCAGGCTACCTTTTTGCATGCCAGTGAGTACCCTGCACCCCTCCCAGAGCCCAAGAACCTGAGTTAAGCATGGATGAGAGCTGAGAAAAGGCTTGAACACAGAGGGGGCTTGGAATGGGGAGACCCCTAAGACCAGAGCAAAGGGGACAAGGAAAGTGCTGGAGTCCCTGAGTTTGAGCAAAGACATTCTGGGCGGGAGCAAGAAGGAAGCGCAGCATCGAGAGGGACTCAGCATATGGAGAACTGGAGTTATGACCTCTCCAGGCTGGGCTGACACCCCCAAAGGATGGGCTCCTGCTCCCCCCCACCCCAAGTATGAGCATGCACACACAGGCACACACCTCCATAGGACGCTGAGGTGTTCATCTGATCCTCTGGGGACATCCCTTCCTCTTACCTTCACCACACCCTGATTTCACCTGGATACAAGGGCGGCCGGAAGCAGTGGGGTCGGTGCCCATCCTCACCTCCTAAGGTAGTTCTGATACTTCAGGGGGGCAGGATCACATGGGGCACTTGACAAAAATTCAGATTGAGATTCCTGCCCTCCCCCCTCCCTGAGATTCTGAATCTGGGGTCTGGGGACCCGGGTAATCCTGAGAAGGTGGTCCTTGGAGGAACGCTGGGTGGTCTGTTAGCTGTTGGGTGGAGAAAACAACCATAACGATACCGGCCGCATTCATTGTGTGCCTACTGTGTACCTGATGTTTGGCATAAGCCACCTCATTTTATCCTTTGGCAGCCTTCCAGGAAGGTGCCATCATTTCTATTCCCAAAGTCACACACTGGTCTCCAGAGAGAAACCGCAGTTTGAGGTGGCTTCCTCTCCCACCCCACCCCCACCCCTTTCCAACCCCCAGGGGCTTGCAGACTCACAGGGCCTGGGACCCATGCCAGCGACAGGACCAGAACCAGCATGTGATTCCCCAACAGGAGAGAGTGACCAGGGTAACGCCCGCTGGCAAGAAAGACTGCAGAATTGTAGTGTGATGGAGACCCCCCACCCCCACCCCGGGATAATGCAGCGGGAGGGCGCACTCCCAGCCTGAGGGCCGCCCAACCCCCGCGGAGGGGGCGGGGGGAGGAGGCTTCAGTGTAGCGACGCTGGACCGGCCGGCCTGGCGAATTCCCAGGTGGCGGGCGCCCCCTGCAGTCAGACAGGGGTGCGGCAGGGCAGAGGCCGGGCCTTCGCCGGGGCTGACATCACTGGGACCGCGGGGTTTTCTCTTTCACCGGTGTGGTCCTTACTGTTGCTCCATTTTAAGGATGAGAGAAGTGTTGAGTGTCTTGCCCAAGGTCGCAGAACCAGCCAGTATGGGACCCTGGCTCCTCCCTCCCATAGTCTTTGTCCCAGCGCCTCAGGGCCCCCTCACCCCCAAGCTCCCTGGCCCGCAGGACAGACAGGGCAGGAGGGCCGTTGTAGGAGGCAGGCAACGGGTATTTAATGGGCTTTGGTGGGGGTCTCAACACTCCCACCAGGGGAGTGGGCAAGGGCAGAGCACAGACAGGCCTCCACGCGGGGCTCAGGAGATGAGGTTCAGGTGCAGGGGCTCCTGGCATCGCTGGGTGTGAAGGGGCGAGCGGCAGACAGCGCCTCGTCTGGGGCAGTCCCACAGCAGGGGCAGCACTGGGCCTGCGTGGAGCTAAACACAGAGTGGAGGGATGGGGCTGTCCCCGAGCCCCTGCCCCACAGCTCACGACCCACCAGCAGGGGAGCAAGAAACTGTCCAAGCCGCCATCCCCCCCCCCCCCCCCCCCCCCCCCCGCAGAGCAAAGGGAGTGGCCTGGCACCACAGAGTGTCACTGCAGGGGCCCTGGGGGAGGGGAGGCTGTGATTACCCACCCCCACTCCATTCCTAATGGGCCACTTCCATGTGTTTCCTATGTTGGGCTTCAGAGTAAAAAAGCCGTCTTTAAGTAAAGGAATCCCCCCTCAGAATTACGAACCCCTGGACTAGTCTCAGTCCTTACTAATAGCTGAGAAAACTGATGCCCAGAAAGGGTAAGTGACTGGCCCAAGGCCGACCAGCAAGTGAGTGGGGCGGTCTTTTCCTTTCCTGTCTCCAGGGCCCCCTGGTGTATTCTGGAGGCCTGTGACTTTATTTCCTGCACTGCTCAGGTCTATGATCCCCCTACCTCAAGTTCTGAGTGCTCCAGCTTCAGGGCCAGCCCAACATGGGGTGAGAGGGTTCCCCCCAACACCTGTGAAATCCACAGACACCCTCTCCCAACACACACACACACACACACACACACACACACGCATACTCCTCACCTCCTGGAGGGCTGCAGCCTCACCACTCCCTGGGGGACCATTCCCTGGTTTGTAGAGACTCAGAGGTTGGGGTTGGGGGCCAGGCCCAGGCCCTGGGACGGCTGGGGGACTGAGCACTGAGGGGCACATTGGGAAGTGAAGGTTCTGCATGGGCACCCAGTCAGACCCCACCATTCTCTGTAGCCAGACAGCTTCGGCCATGTACCTGGGAAGCAACAAGCCAGATGGGAGGGGTCGTGGCCCTCCTGGCCTGGTACCCCTCAGTTTGGGGGGCACACAGCCCAAGGCTTGGCCCTGCAGAGACTGGCTCAGACCAGTCTCATCCAGGCTGTAGTGTCCCTCCACCCCATTCCTTGGGGCAAGAACCCACAAAGGCAAGGAAGGGGGCGGGTTCCGGAGGCTCTCACAATGCCCTGTGGAAAACCCCAAAGGAAGAAGAACAGGGAGTATAAGGGCCTGGGAGCTAGGCTAAGGGGCCAGGGGCGATGACCCAGCTTTATCCCACCCCTCAGCCCCAGGGGTCACCACTCAGACCCCTGGTCTGCCAACTCACTTGGGTCCCAGCGGTGCACAAATTGTTAAATACCAGTTGTTGGCACAGCCATGGTCGAAGGGGTTGTATCCCTGCAGGTATTGGCACTGGAGGGAGGCAAGGGCCAGAAGAGGAACTCAGATCCAGCAGGACTGGGCAGGCCACCCCCCGATGGCCCTCCCTGAACGTCAGCTCAGTTCAGGGTGGCAGCAAGACTCCAAGGGCAGAGAAGCAGGGAGAGGGAGCCAAGGCCTCCCCCACCCCACCTACCTCCGAGTAGCTCTCTCTAGGCAACCCCGGTACTGCACCCACTTCTCTTGTCTTCTCAGGGCTCCTCCCCCATCACCTGTATCCCTTCTGCAGTACCCTCCCCTTTTCTGTTTCCTTTGGCCATACCACATCCTCCTGCCACCTCCTTCCAGATATACTTTCAGATCTTCCTTTTATTGCTAAACTGCTCCAAAGACAGTTCCACGCCCCTCCCCCAACTTCCCTACTTTCCCACCTCTCATTTTTTCCAAACTTGTGTCTTCACTGAATTTCACTATCTAGAAGGGTAATTGCCTGGGGCCCAATCAGATTTCCCTAACAAAATAACCTGGCCCTGGAAGTCTGGACTGAAGTTCCTGAACACCCGTGCAGTGAAGGTCAAGTCCTCCCCTGGACAGTCTTAACCAACTTCTCCCCCTCCCCTCCCTCTACACATCACCCTCCTCCTCCTCCTCCTCCTCCTCCTCCTCCTCCTCCTCCTCCTCCCCAGCACAAGCTGATTCTCACCCTGACTTCAAGAGCCTTGGCTACAAAATGTCTGTCATGACCAAAAGTGGCCCAGGCCCACCTCTTCCCACCACCAGCTCTCTATGTCCCATGTCCCTGTCATGAAGATGTTGACCTTCGACACTATTCTCCACCAAAAGGAGCCAGAACTCCATGCGGGGCAGCTGACACCTACGGGAGGAAAAGTCGAGACACCTCCACAATGTCCCACTGTTGCCAAAAAGCAACACTAACCATCACAATACTTTGAATTCTTGCCTACTTTAATATGTTTAAAGCATTTAGGGGAAACTGGTGTTCCATTTGCAATTTTAACTAAATGGTTAGTAAATGGTTAGAAGAGTTGGATGACATTTACAGTTAGAATTTTAAATTTAGAGAAATAAATTTTGATTTATTAGATGTATACAAAGTGTGCAAACACGTTGACGTCCAACGCTTAAAGGAGTGATAAATAATTGCCTAATGAGCTCATTAGAACTCTCTAATAAAGGGCAGCACCTTCCTCTCCCCACTGGAGAGCCTCTCAGATGTGAACGGAATCCAACAGCTCGGAAGTTCTCTGACTCTCTTCTCTCCCTGGCTCCAGACCCAGTTCTCCTGCTCCAAACTTGTGCCTCGAACACTCTCACACTCCACAGGATGGTAACCAAAGTGGGCATGTTCTCACTCCATCTCCTGCCCAGCTCCCTGCTGCCTTGGTTCTCCGCCCTTCTTCCCCCGGGGGTCAGGGCATCAGGCTTCCCTCTCTCTCTCTCTCTCTCCCTCCCTCCCTCCTTCTCTCCCAAAGCAGAATCGATTCTTTTGTGTATAGATTCACTCATTTGCTCATAAATATTCTGGGGCCTCGACAATGTCCTAGGCACTGCACTGGGGATTGAGGACACACCGCCACCAACAAAGCCAGCCTAAGCTTTCAGGCAGCTGGCGAGTGGTCAGGGCAGCGCAGAGAGGGGATGAGGGAGCAGAGCAGGCAGCGGGTGCCAAGACTCCAGGGGGCAGGTAAAGTGGCAGTGGCCCTGGAAAGCAGAGAGCGGGGCCCTGAGAGGCTGGGGGGGGGGGGCACGGCAGGTGCATGCAGCACCACGCTGCTTGCTGTGTGCAGCCTGGAAAGATGAGTCTTAGGACTGTCGCTGGCCACGTGGTGAGCACGACAGTAGTGTGACAGTGAGCAGAGGCTGGGCCGCACGGGCTGGGGAAGGTGAAGAACGATGCCAGTGAGCAGTCAACTCGTCCAAGAAACATGCCTCTGCTGGAGAGGAGAGCGCAACAGCCGGAGGGGAGGCCTGTGATGTTAAGGACTGTTTGCTTTGTTTCCAAGATCAGAGAGACGTGAACATGTGTAAATGATGATGGGCAGGAATGGTAACAACAGCAACACCCTATAGGGCATTGGCTTGTACCAGGCACTGTTGTATGTGTTGTACACATATCGACCCAAGCTGCTCCCTTTTACAGATGGGGAAACTGAGGCACCAGGTGGCTAAGTAACAGACCCAAGATCTCCCTGCCAATAGGAAGCTGTGGTTTGAATTTATGTAGACTGGCTCCAGAGCCCTTGCTATCAAGCGCCAAGCAAGGGGCCCCAGGAGATTTGGTTTGGGGATGGAGGTAGGAAGGGAATGAATGCCTGAAATGGGTTCTGGAGGTAACGGGAGAGAGCCCTGAATGAATGAATCACATTCATCACAGAGTGCAGTGACTCACAGAGCGCAGACCATATACAGATTTCTTAAGACTGGAGATCACAGACTGGGAGAGCCCCATTCTGAGCAGTGGAGCAAGGACGGGCCGATGGCTTGACTGGGAGCCAAAAGAACCATGGGACGTGGGAAGGGAGAATGCTACCCCGGAGAGGCTGAAATGATGGACTGAAGCTGGAGAGAGAACGCATGCAGACCACAGGAGGTGATGAGTAAGGGCTAATGGGTAAGAGCAGAGGAGTCACGGGTGGGCTGGGAGCCAAACAGGGGTGGGTTGGAGTGATTGAGTGCTGACTGTAGGGATGGGAGGTGGTGGGCAAACAGAGTTCCTCTGTCCTTTCAGCTATCTCATTGTCTCCAGCCCTCCTTCATCAATGTGGTCAACTACAGCCTTCCTAAAACAACCTTTAGTTGGGGTGCCTGGCTGGCTCAGTCGGTAGAGTATGTGACTCTTGATCTCAGAGTCTCAGGGTCATGAGTTCAAGCACCACATTGGGTGTGGAGCCTACTTAAGAAAAAAACAAAACAAAACCAACATTTAGTCAAGTCACTGTCCTGCTAAAGGAATCCGATGGCAAGGATGTTCACTTTAATCACTCCTACTCAACGCTGTACTGGAGATCTAAGACAGTGCAGTAAGAAGAAAAAAAGAAAGCCATTGAAGTTGGAAAGGAAGAAATAAAACTGTCCTTATTCATAGATGACATGATTTTCCATGCAGAATCAACAAAAAAAGCTATTAGGACAAGTGAGTCCAGCAAAATTGCAAGATTCAAGACCAATAAACAAAAATCCACTGTATTTTCTTAAAATAATAAACAAATAGAAATGAAGTTTAAAAACACATTTATAATAGCACAAAAAATACTTAGAAAAGATCTAACACAATGTACACAAGATCTATATATTGAAAACTACAAAACACTGACGAAAGAAATCAAAGAAGTAAATAAATGGGAAGGGGCTCATGGGTTCAAAAACTCAATATTGTTAAGATGTCAGTCTTCCTTATTGGCTTATAGGTTCAGTGTAATCCAAAGAAAAATCTCAGAAATCTTTTGTGTGTGTGTGTGTGTGGAAATGAAGCTGATTCTGAAAGAAGAACAAATCTGGAGAACTCACACTGTGTGATTTCAAGACGTAATACAAACCTACTAATCGAGACAGTCAACTGACTTTTGACAAATGTGCAAAGGTAACTCAATGGAAGAAGGATAGTCTTTTTTTTTTTTTTTTAAAGATTTTATTTATTTATTTGAGAGAGAGAGAATGAGAGACAGAGAGCATGAGAGGGAGGAGGGTCAGAGGGAGAAGCAGACTCCCTGCCGAGCAGGGAGCCCGATGCGGGACTCGATCCTGTGACTCCAGGATCATGACCTGAGCCGAAGGCAGTCACTTAACCAACTGAGCCACCCAGGCGCCCCGAAGGATAGTCTTTTCAACAAATGATGCTGGAACAACCTTTACGCAAATGTAATAAATCTTGACCCATACCTTACATTGTATACAAAATTTAACCCAAAATGAATCATAGGCCTAAATATAAAATCTAAAACTATAAAACTTCCAGAAGAAAATATAAGAAAATCTTTGTGAGGGCACCTGGGTGGCTCAGTTGTTGAGCGTCTGCCTTTGGCTCAGGTCATGATCCCAGGGTCCTGGGATCGAGCCCTGCATCGGGCTCCCTGCTCTGCGGGAAGCCTGCTTCTCCCTCTCCCACTCCCCCTGCTTGTGTTCCCTCTCTCGTTATGTCTCTCTCTGTCAAGTAAATAAATAAATAAAAATCTTAAAAAAAGATAATCTTTGTGACCTTGGGTTAGGCAAAGCTTTCTTAATTACAACACCAAAAGCACAGTCTATAAAAGAAAAAAAACCAACAATGCACTTCATCAAAATGTAAAACTTCTGATCTTTGGAAGACACTGTTTAAAAATTGAGATGACAAGCCAGACTGGGAGAAAATACTTGCAAAACACCTATCTGAACCCAGAGTATATAAAAAACTTGTAGAACTCAATAATTTCAAAAAACCCAATTCTTTTAATGGGCAAAAGACTGGAACAGACATTTAATCCAAGATATACAGATGGCAAGTAAGAACGTGAAAAGATGCTCAACATCACTAGTCATTAGGAAAATGCCGATTAAAATCACAATGAGAGGGCGCCTGGGTGGCTCAGTTGGTTAAGCAACTGCCTTCAGCTCAGGTCGTGATCCTGGAGTCCCAGGATCGAGTCCCACATCCGGCTCCCTGCTCAGTGGGGAGTCTGCTTCTCCCTCTGACCCTCTCCCCTCTCATGCTCTCTCTCACTCTCTCTCTCTCAAATAAATAAATAAAATCTTTTAAAAAAAAATCACAATGAGATACCATTTCACATTTATTAGACTGGCTAAAACTAATAAACAAACAACAACAACAAAAACCTGACAATACCAAATGTGAGTGAGGATGCTAAGCAACTAGAATTCTCACATGTCGCCTGTGGGAATGCACAATGGGAATGCAGCCATTCTGGAAGACAATTTGGCAGTCTCTTAAAAAACTACACATAGTAACTATATAACCCAGCAATACCACTCCTCACTCCTCTAAGTATTTACCCACAAAGCAATGAAAATGTTCACATGCCTATACACCAGTGTTTATAGTGGCTTTATTTATAATCACCCCAAACTGCAAACAACCCAAATATCCTTCAGTCCAGGAACCGATAAACAAACGGTAGTATGTCCATATGACGCAATCATGCACATGATAAAAAGTAAGAAACTACTGATCCTGGCAGCAACGGGATGGATCGCAAATGCTGAGTGGAAGAAGCCCGCACAAAAGGTTGTGATTCCATTTATACCAGTCTCTGGAAAAGGAAAAACTATAGGGATAGAAAACAGATCAGGGGCTGAGGGCAGGGAGAGAAACTGACTACAAGAGACCATGAGGGAGTTTCTGGGGGGTGATGGAACTGTTATAAATCTTGATTGCAGTGGTGGTTACAGGACCGGACTGTATGTTTGTCAAAACTCATAGAATTGCACTGAAACGGGGTGAATTTTACCGTATGGAAAAAAAGAAAACAGAAATCCTCTTACGGCTCCCAGGCTTCCCTTGAACCAAGATTCAATTCTCCACCTGACTTTCTGGGCCTTTTAATCCTGGTCAATCCCAAGCCGTCCACTTGATTTCCCACGCCACCTTCTGCTCCAATTAGCACTGTATCCTCACCATCCTATCCACATTCCACAGACTTGCAGGCTTCCTTGCCTTTCTGCAGGTTGCACCCCTCACCTGCTCTAGTCCCCCCCCCCCCTTTTCTGCCCGTTTAAAACCACTGAGCAGCGCGTCCTACTCTGAACTTGAGTCCCTCTGTGAGTCTGTTGTTACTCAACGTAGGGCAGGCCCTTTCTCGTGGCGTTCACAGGCGTCTGGCGGGTGTTACTCTGATTTCAGGTTCCTTATCGACAGAATCGCAGGATATAGCCTTACTCACCTCTACACCCATCGTTCAAGATAAAGCACACGAGGCCTAGCACACAGTAGGCCCTCGATGCAGTGCACGCGGGAGGGAGAGTGACCACCGAGCGGGTGAGACTGGAGATGGATCTAGGTCTAGAAGGGCTAATGAGGCGCCTTCGAGGGAGGTCAGGCGGTCAGGGGCCAGGGCGGCGGACAAAGAGCAGAAAGGGCAGAGGTTCCCGGAGGCGCAAGGTGACCGCCCACAGCCCGGTACCCCGGCGCCCCGCTCGGCCTCGCGTACCTTCCCCTCGTAGGAGCGCTCGGCCGCGCTCACCGACATGGCCTGGACCAGCAGCAGCAGGAAGAGCGGCACCAGGAAGCCGGCGGCGGGTACAGCCACCAGAATGCTGGGCGTCAGCTAAGGAGCAGCGCCGCCGGAATCCCCTCCCTGGCCCCGCCCCTCGCCCCGCCCCTCGCCCCGCCCCCGCCCCAACAGCTCCGCCCCCAACCGGCCCCGTCCTCCCGCTCCCCGAGCTCGGTCCCCGCGTACACCTCACCCCACTCCGCTGTCCAGGCCCCGTGCCACCTTTAGCACTCCCCACCATGACGCTGCTAGATTCTCAAGTCTTCGCAGTCCCTCCTAGCCCCGCCCATATCCCTGGCCCTACCCACCCCTGCTTAGTCCCAGGGGGGTCTCCCCGCCCCGCCATTAGCTCTGTCCTCGTGATCCCGCCCCCTTGCCACCCCCGCGCTCCCCACTACTCTCTACATGGGTCCCTGGAAGGATACGCGATGGCTTTGTCCATGGAGAAGGGCAGGTGGGTCGTGCGCACCAGGAAGATCAGGCAGGTCACCAGCATGGCACCCGAGTAGAGACATAAGGACAGGACCAGCAGCATGAAGAAGCGGAAGTTGCGGTGACCAATGCAGTTATTGACCCATTTGCAATGGTGGTCAAAGTCCTGGGTAAGAGGGAGGGGAGCAGGCCTCGAGGACCCGACCTCTGGACCAGCCTCCATCGCCCCCAAATCTGAGGCTTTACCCACCCCCCTTCCCCCATTCCCAAAGGCCACCTGCCCTTGGCCCCTCAAACTGGGTCTCATCCCTAGGGAGAAACGCAGGCACAAAGTCCCTAATGCTAGCATTTCTGTTAGAGCTCTGTTAGGTCTCTGCGGCTCACAAGGTCACATGTCAAGAGGCCTTCAGAGACAGGGCCTGCCCGGTCTTCTGGGGACACATCCTGGTGTAACTGTGGACTGGGCATAGAATATCTCTGGGCTTCTGTTTCCTTATCCATTGACTGAGGATAGTAATACCTTTGCTCAGCCCGCCTCCCAGGGTTGTGAGGACCAGATAAGACGGCACCTCTGTACGCCTTTGCAGGCTGTGCGCATGAGGCAGACAAGCACTCTGAGCCCGGAAGAGCCTCCGGCCCGGACACGAGAAGAGGACAGGCGAAGCTTTCCCAGCCGGGCCTACAGCCGGCGTGACGGCCTTGGGCAGCTAGAGTCAGCAGGCCTGGGGTAAGACAGGGGTGTCTTTCTCCCCCTGGCCTGACCAGGCCCAGCATAGGTGTGGATGCCTCTGTGCGTGTCTGCGCCTGCGCAGGCAAGCTTCAACCTCCCTGGGCAGGTGCGGGTGCAGGTGCAGAGGTAGGGACCTGCATGAGTGACCAAAGGTGGTTGGGAGTTACTGCCACTCTTGGCCTTTAGTGGTGCCGGACGTGGGTTCACGCTTGCCACTGGCCCCCGTGTGAGCGGGAGGGGTGGGGGCAGGTGGGCAAGTCAAGAGAGGCACTCACTTCTACACAGATGTTGCACCGGGGACAGTGGTAGGTCCGGGGCGGCCGGTGGAAGCAGCACTTCTGGCACCACTGCAGGCGGAAGGCCCTGTGGTTCACCCACACCACATGCACCACCATGGGGCCCTGTTCGTTGGAGCCTGGCGTGGGAAGAGGATTGGGCGGCAGCAGGAGGCCCTTCCGTCAGTCTGCTGCTCCCGGGGGTAGGGAGGCCGCCCCGCGTCATGGCCCCAGGAAGTGTGGGGAAGAGGTGGGCGAGGGTATCCCTAGTCTCCACCGAGCAAGCTGCCCAAGCACAGAGAGACGGGCATCCAAAGGGAAGGGAGGTTTCCAGCCAGAAGAGTTCTGTGAGGACTGTCAGTCATTGACAACTGTGACTGATGCTTTAAAGAGTTTGTGCCGTGGGAAGGACGAAGGGAGAACCGAGGGGTTTCAAAGAGTTGGCTTCTCTTCCCCGGGCCCTCCCACACGAAGCAACTGGAAAACCTCCAGAAATCTGTTTTTCCACGTCTGCGTAGCTTAAACAATGAAGTGACAGAGGCAGGGCTGGGGCAAATGAGGATGTGCTGTGAAACGGTCCTGTGGCCCAAGGAAGGGAGATGGAAGGAGCCCTTCAGGAGGGGCTGCCTCCTTCTCCCAGGGGCCAGCGCCTCACCTTGATGCAAGATGCCGGGGTCTGAGAAATTGAGTGAAACCAGACTGAAGACGGTGAGGACACAGAGGAGGCCTGTGACGAGGGGAAAGGCCCACTCCCCGTTCTGGGCCAGCCATCTGCAACTGAGACCAGAACAGGGCTCAGCCCTGATCCAGAGTGGCCTGAAGCTCCCCCCGACCCCTGCCGACCCTGTCCACTTGGTCAGAACCCACACGCCTTGAAGCCTGCTGCTCTAAATATCCAGACTGGTGATAGATCCTCAGCGACTCCGCCGAATGTCCCCCAGTGTTGCCAGCCGTCTGCGGCTCCCAGAGGCACCAAGCACTGTGTACCTGTGTCTTTGCACATTCGGTTCCCTCCGCCTGGGCTATCCTCCGTCCTCTCGCCCCTCTTCTGCACTTCCCCTGCCTCTGTACTATCATTCTCTGTTTTCCTGTCTCTGTAGGAAACCTGCAGCTCGTGTAAGAGGGAGACTCACGGGAACGCGAAGAAGAGGCCACTGAAAACCACCAGCAGCACTACATTGAAGGCGGCAAACAGGCTCGGGAGGATCCACGGAAGAGGGGCCTGAGGCGGCGGATGGGGCTCCTTCATGAGGGGCACGGCGTCCTTCAAGAGCGGCATGGCTGGACCTCCCGCGCCCCCAGGGGAGATCAGAGCCACTAGGCTCCAGGAGCCCCATGGCCACAGCAGCCTCGGAAGCCGCAGCCCAGGGTGGAAGGAAAGAAGTTCCAGTGTGACATCATAGAGGTTGAGAAGAATGGAGGCCAGCCTGTGATGGGCGCTGCCAACAGCAAACCCACCCACCAGCCCCACCCCACCCCACCCCACCCCCACATTTGTGCCAGGGACGGAGAGCTCCTGCCCCTGCGAGGTTGGCTTTAAGATGACAGATTAGAGAAACACACGGGGAGAAGGTGTGTGATTCTAATCATCTTCTCAGGCTCGAGGCTAATCGGAGCAGATAGCGCTCATGGTTCACCTTACCTCCATTTTCTTCCTTTTTGTTATTGCAAAATTCCACTTTCGGGGCTGGAGGGGCAGCTAAATAACTTTCCAGCTTCTGTCATTTCCAGGGTGGGCTTCATGACACAATTCTGGTCAAGGAGATGTAAGTGGATGTCTGCTGAGGATTTCTAGAAAAGCTTTGCCTTGTCCCTTTCTTCTGGTCTTGAGCCTAGATGTGCTGGCTGAAGGTACCGTCTTGGACCCATTAGGCAGCGTGTGGACATGCTACACAGAATGGTGTTGAGGACACTGTTTAGGCACTGCCCCAGACTTGAACTGGCTGCCTCTGAACTGCTTTTTCCATGAGAAAATAACTGAGTTTTCTGTTATATGCAGCCGACATTTGTCATTTGTTTTAGCTATGGAGCATCTGAACCCCTCTGTGCTTGGAGGATTCCCTGCGCTGTACCTCTTCATGGAAGGGCAAAGACTGCTCCCCATCCCAGTTGGAGCTAAAACTGCCAGAAACTTGCATTCAAAGTCTCTCCTGCAGCTAGAGCATAGCCCTGTGACCCAGCGCCACCAATTAGCCTCAGAATTGCCACCACCAACCAAGTGGGAGTCTTCTGCACATATTTTCAGAGCTCCTGCGTGTTGAAGTGTAATGGCCATTTTAAATGTCACTTTAATTCCAACAGTGATTGTATTATGCTTCAACAAGGATAAAATACGTAATTCTGGGGGTGCCTGGGTGGCTCAGTCATTAAGCGTCTGCCTTCGGCTCAGGTCATTATCCTGGGGTCCTGGGATTGAGCCCCGCATCGGGCTCCCTGCTCAGCTGGAAGACTGCTTTTCCCTCTCCCACTCCCCCTGCTTGTGTTCCCTCTCTCGCTGTCTCTATCTGTCAAATAAATAAATAAAATCTTAAACAACAACAACAACAACATAATTCCGGGGGCGCCTGGGTGGTGCTGTTGGTTAAGTGTCTGGCTCTTGGTTCCCGCATCGGGCATTGTGCTGAGCACAAAGTCAGCTTGGGATTCTCTTTCTCTCTCCCTTCCCTTTGCCCCCTCCTGCTCATGCTCTCTCCTCCCTCTCTAAAATAAGTAAATAAATCTTTAAAAAATATGTAACTCCAAGAGTCCTACTTTGAATTGGACTAAATGAACTGGAACATTTTGAGGAAATCAATTTGATTTGGACTAAATGAACTGGAACATTTTGAGGAAATCAATTTGATTAAAAACAGAGCAAAAGTCCCTCGTCAATGCACAATTATTGTTATTTATATTTTCTTATATATAGAAACAATTTTTCTTCATAACATTCAAATTAATGGGTTAAAATCAGTGTAAGAATATGATCTTATTTTTTAAGATTTTATTTATTTATTTAACAAAGAGAGAGACAGCGAGAGAAGGAACACAAGCAGGGGGAGTGGGAGAAGGAGAAGCAGGCTTCCCGCCCAGCAGGGAGCCCGATGCAGGGCTCGATCCCAGGACCCTGGGATCATGACCCGAGCCGAAGGCAGGACGCTTAACGGCTAAGCCACCCCAGTGCCCCAAGAATACAATCTTTTAAGGGGCACTTGGCCTGGCTCAGTCTAAAGAGCATGCAACTCTTGATCTCAGGGTCATGAGTTTGAGCCCCACCTGGGGTGTAGAGATTACTTAAATAAATAAAACATTTTTAAAAAAGAATACTATCTTAAAATATACTTGATTGTATTTCAAATACTAAGGTTTAAAGTTTTAGATATTTTCATTTGTCATAATTTAATATAACTATATATGTATGCACATTTAAAATACCTACATATTGATACATATTAAAATTAATTAATTTTGGGGGGTGCCTGGGTGGTTCAGTCAATTAAGCATCTGCCTTTGGCTCAGGTCATGATCCAGGGTTCTGGGATTGAGTCCCGCATTGGGCTCCCTGATCAGTGGGGAGTCTGCTTCTCCCTCTCCCTCTGGCCCTCCCTGCTGCTCGTGCTCTCTCTCTCAAGTATGTAAATAAAATCTTAAAAAAAATAAAAAATAAAATTAATTTTTTTAAAGATTTTATTATTTGACAGAGAGAGACAGTGAGAGAGGGAACACAAGCAGGGGGAGAGGCAGAGGGAGAAGCAGGCTTCCTGCTGAGCAGGGAACCTGATGTGGTGCTTGATCCCAGAACCCTGGGATCATGCCCTGAGCTGAAGGCAGACGCTTGATCAACTGAGCCACCCAGGCGCCCCTATTCCTTGGTTTTAAACACATATGTAAATTGGCAGCAATTTTGGCACACACTTTATGTAACAGATTGGTCAGTGTTTTCACTTTCTACTAATTCATTTTGTCTCCTGAGGTGAATTTTTTGAAGTTAAGTCTTCACGGAATAATTATGGGGACCCATCACTTATGTACCTCACCCCAAATAGAGACTCCACTCTCCTCCATTCTGATAATGTTAGCTACTGTAACAAGTTAATGTGCCTTGTCATCAACATACAGTTTCTTTGTCCTTTCATTTTTGTCTGAAAGTCCCTGCTAGAAGTTGCAGACCAGAGATTGGGTCTTCTGGAAGAAACATCAAAGAAGGACAGAAAGGGATACAGGAGATAGACACATGATTACAGACTTCCTTAGAATAAGCTGATATGACCACCAGAGTAGACACCTCACTGTCAGAGTCAATCCCTGGATTCCTTCCTCCAAAAACCTACTTCTCCCCCAGTGCTGTTCCTCCCAGTAATTAGGATTATCATTCATCCTATTGTTCAGATCAAACCCATGGAGTCACCTGATTCCTGCCTTTATCTCACATCCCACATCCAATCCACCAGCTCTGCCATCAAAATAGAATCTCACAAGTCCAAGCCACTACCCTCTCTTGTTTGGATATTGGAATAACCTCCTAACTAACCCAGGCTTCTTCTGTCCTTGACCTTTAAGAGACTCTGTTCCAAATAGTAGCTGATGCTCCTTTTAGAACTTAGATCATGGCCTCTGTTCAGAAGCCCCCAACTGCTGCCAGCCTCATTCAGAGTAAAGTCCAAAGTCCTTACTGTGGCCTTCAAGGCCCTCCCTGACCTGGCTCCTCTAACTTTCTGATCTTATTTCCTAACACTCAGCCCCTTGCTCAGGCACACTAGCTTCCCTGCTCTTCCCCAGACACACCTGGCACACTCCAGTCCTGGGTCCTTTGCACTTGCTCTCCTGTTTCCCTGGAATTCTCTGCCACAAACACTCGCAGAGTTCGCTTCCTCACTTCACCGAGTCCTTTGTTCACGTGGTGCCTCTGCACCCTTCAGATGCCTGCACCTCCGCTGGTTTCCTCAGAATACAGTCCTCATGGTTGGATTTCAGGTCAATAAATGTGAATACTTAAAACGTCTTTTGCATAATTTGCAAGATGCTTTCCAGAAAGTTTATACATGTTTACACTACTGTTATGAGCATAACTGTATTATAATACAAACACCATAATTAAATATTAACATAAAGTAATTTCTCAAATTTTATAAATGACAAATGACACCTTAATCTTTTCATTTATATCTCCTTAAGTTACTTATGAAATTAAGGAAGAAAGACTTTTCAAGATGGTGGAGGAGTAGGAGACCTTAGTTTTGTCTGAGGAATTCAGCTAGATAGCTATCAAATCATTCTGAACAACTGTGAACTCAACCAGAGATCTAAGAAAAGAATGCTGCAATTCTACAAATAGAAAAGCGACCACTTTCCTCAAGGTAGGAGAATGACAAGATGGAAAACTCCCCTCAAAAAAGAGAACAAGAGACAGTACTGACTGCCAGGGACCTAATCAGTATGGATATAAGTCAGAACTAGAGTTCAGAATAACAATTATAAAGATACTAGTTGGGCTTGAAAAAACCATAGAAGACACTCCCTTTCTGGAGAAATAAAAGAACTAAAATCGAATTAAGTCAAAATAAAAAAGGCTATTAATGAGATGCAATAAAAAATGGAGGCTGTAACTGCTAGGATAAATGAAGCAGAAGAGATAATTAGTGATGTAGAAGACAAAATTATGGAAAATAAAGAAGCTGAGAAAAAGATAACTACTGGATCATGAGGGGAGAATTCGAAAGATAAGTGAAACATTTTAAAGCAAAACAATATTAGAATAATGGGGATCCCAGAAGAAGAGGAAAGGGGGGTGGTGCAGAAGGTATATTAGAGCAAATTATAGCTAAGAACTTCCTTAATCTGGGGAAGGAAACAGGCATTCAAGTCCAGGAGGCACAGAGAAACCCCCTCAAAATCAATAAAATTAGGTCAACACCCTGACATATAATAGTGAAACTTGCAAAACTCAGAGACAAAGAGACAATCCTAGAAGCAGCAAGGAACAAGAGGTCCGTAAACTACAAGGGTAGAAGCATTAGACTGACAGCAGACCTATCCACAGAGACCTGGAAGGCCAGAAAGGAATGGCATGATATAGTCAGGGTGCTAATTGAGAAAAATATGCAGCCAAGGATACTCTATCCAGCAAGGCTGTCATTCAAAATAGGAGAGACAAAAAAGTTCCAGGATAAACAGAAACTAAAAGAATTTGTGATCACTAAGCCAGCCCTGCAAGAAATATTAAAGGGGATCCTTTAAGCAAGGAGAGAGCCCAAAAGTAACATAGACCAGAAAGGAACAGAGACAATATACAGAAACAGTGACTTTACAGGTAGTACAATGACACTAAATTCATATCTTTCAGTAGTTACTCTGAATGTAAATGGGCTAAATGCCCCAATCAAAAGACACAGGTTATCAGGTTGGATAAAAAAGCAAGACCCATCAATATGCTGTCTACAAGCGACTCATTTTAGACCCAAAGACACCTCCAGATTTAAAGTGAAGGGGGTAGAAAACCATTTATCATGCTAACAGACATCAAAAGAAAGCTGGGATAGCAATCCTTATATCAGACAAATTAGATTTTAAACCAAAGACTGTAATAAGAGATAATTAAAGGGTCTATCATAATTAAAGGGTCTATCCAACAAGAACATCTAACAATTATAAATATGTATGCCCCTAACATGGGAGTAGCCAATTTTATAAATCAATTAATAACAAAATTAAAGAAACACATTGATAATAATATAATAATGGTAGGGGACTTTAACACCGCACTCACTGCAATGGAGAGATC